AGACGTGTCAGAACAGGTGGGGGATCATCTGTTGTTCCATGTAGTGAATCTGTTATTCAATGTGTTTGTATGGGCTAATAGCAGTAAGGACTATCTGTTGTTCCATGTAGTGAATCTGTTATTCAATGTGTTTGTATGGGCTAATAGCAGTAAAGACTATCTGTTGTTCCATGTAGTGAATCTGTTATTCAATGTGTTTGTATGGGCTAATAGCAGTAAGGACTATCTGTTGTTCCATGTAGTGAATCTGTTATTCAATGTGTTTGTATGGGCTAATAGCAGTAAGGACTATCTGTTGTTCCATGTAGTGAATCTGTTATTCAATGTGTTTGTATGGGCTAATAGCAGTAAGGACTATCTGTTGTTCCATGTAGTGAATCTGTTATTCAATGTGTTTGTATGGGCTAATAGCAGTAAGGACTATCTGTTGTTCCATGTAGTGAATCTGTTATTCAATGTGTTTGTATGGGCTAATAGCAGTAAGGTCAAATAAAATGTTATACTTCAACGGGTCTTAAAATTCAAAATGATCGTTGGTATGACATTCTTAATCCTTTAGAGTCTAAGACGCTGGGGGGGGGGGGGGGTACTAAGAAGATACTATGGATCATTTAGCTATTTGATTTAGAATTGTAGGACCCCTTTAGGTATGAAAAAAATATAGATTTTGGCCTTTAATACTAAAGCCCATAGAAACACATTGAATTACACATTCAGAAATGGCAACAAGGTTCTGAAAAACTCAAGAATATTATTTATTTGTACACAGATTTAACCCCTTTTTTGAGTAGGCACAAAACTACTTCATACGTCCATTCATTTTTTTAAAACCGGTACCGGCTACCTTCAGACGAGTCCCATGACACTTGTGGAAATTAATTTGTAGCCCAAACGGTTCGGACTCTATCAAAAAGAAGTTGGCACATCGACGGTATCGTGAGAATCACCCCTTTCCATAGTGGTCATAATAGTTTGCAAGTCAAACCGCTCGAACGCTACAGACGTTTACGGGAGAAGATCGATTTTCGGGACGTCTCATGGTCTGACAAACACCGCTCTAGCTCTGCTACCTTTCACCGCAGATGTGGAAGTGTGACACTGACGGACGCGGTGGATTGATATCTTAAACTGACGGATTTTGATGGGGACTTTTTTGTTATGTAACACCGGTGAGTCAATCGACTCTAGGAGGTTAAAACAATTCCATATAGCTTAGTTTCAGCACAAACACCGCTAGCTAGCCTACATTTCCTCAACCAAGACCAGGCTGTCATAACACAAACTGTAGCTGATAAAACTAAATTCTCTCGTAGAAACAGTTAGCTATGTTGAATCTAAACCCGGCCAATGGACATGCAAGTAGCGCATCGGCTGTGCTAGCTACCTAGCTAAAAATCAACACACGTTGCTGTTCGAGCATCCAGAACAAATTCCAAGCCCTTACATTATGACGCATAAATTCAGTACACCCTCCTCTGTCAATTAAATGTTCTATATAGCATTTTAATCCAAATTTGAGCTGACGGATCAACAGCGGCAAGTTACTTTTCAGTGTATTCCCAAAAATCAGAACCCAGTAAGCAAAAATCTTTAAAGGACGTATTTTTCCGGAGGTTAAAAAGACGTATTTCTCGAGAGGTTAAATATACAATTTCCCAGTCGTTGAAAATACGTATTTTCCGGACATTGAAAATACAGTTGAAGTCGGAGGTTTACATACACCTTAGTCAAATACATTTAAACTCAGTTTTTCACAATTCCTGACATTTAATCCTAGAAAATATTCCCTGCCTTAGGTCAGTTTATTTTAAGAATGTGAAATGTCAGAATAATAGTAGAGAGAATGATTGATTTCAGCTTTTATTTCTTTCATCACATTCCCAGTGGGTCAGAAGTTTACATACACTCAATTAGTATTTGGTAGCATTGCCTTTAAATTGTTTAACTTGGGTCAAACGTTTCGGGTAGCCTTCCACAAGCTTCCCACAATAAGTTGGGTGAATTTTGGCCCATTCCTCCTGACAGAGCTGGTGTAACTGAGTCAGGTTTGTAGGCCTCCTTGCTCGCACACGCTTTTTCAGTTCTGCCCACACATTTTCTATAGGATTGAGGTCAGGGTTTTGTGATGGCCACTCCAATACCTTGACTTTGTTGTCCTTAAGCCATTTTGCCACAACTTTGGAAGTATGCTTGGGGTCATTGTGTATTTGGAAGACCCATTTGCGAACAAGCTTTAACTTCCTGACTGATGTCTTGAGATGTTGCTTCAATATATCCACATAATTTTCCTTCCTCATGATGCCATCTATTTTGTGAAGTGCACCAGTCCCTCCTGCAGCAAAGCACCCCCACAACATGATGCTGCCACCCCTGTGCTTCACGGTTGGGATAGTGTTCTCCGGCTTGCAAGCCACCCCCTTTTTCCTCCAAACATAACGATGGTCATTATGGCCAAACAGTTCTATTTTTGTTTCATCATAACAGAGGACATTTCTCCAAAAAGTAAGATCTTTGTGCAGTTGCAAACCGTAGTCTGGCTTTTTTATGGCGGTTTTGGAGCAGTGGCTTCTTCCTTGCTGAGCGGCCTTTCAGGTTATGTCGATATAGGACTCGTTTTACTGTGGATATATATACTTTTGTACCAGTTTCACCCAGCATTTTCACAAGGTCCTTTGCTGTTGTTCTGGAATTGATTTGCACTTTTTGCACCAAAGTACGTTCATCTCTAGGAGACAGAAAGCGTCTCCTTCCTGAGGGGTATGACGGCTGCGTGGTCCCATGGTGTTTATACTTGCGTACTATTGTTTGTACAGATGAATGTGGTACCTTCAGGCGTTTGAACATTGCTCCCAAGGATGAACCTGACTTGTGGAAGTCTACAATTTTCTTTCTGAGGTCTTGGCTGATTTCTTTTCATTTTCCCATGATGTCAAGCAAAGAGGCATTGAGTTTGAAGGTAGGCCTTGAAATACATCCACAGGTACACCTCCAATTGACTCAAATGATGTCAATTAGCCTACCAGAAGCTTCTAAAGCCATGACATCATTCCGGAATTTCCCAAGCTGTTTAAAGGCACAGTCAACTTAGTGTATGTAAACTTCTCACCCACTGGAATTGTGATACAGTGAATTAAGTGAAATAATCTATAAATAAAGTACATGTCCTAACCAACTTGCCAAAACTATAGTTTAACAAGAAATTTGTGGAGTGGTTGAAAAACAAGTTTTAATGAATGTTGAAAATACCACTTTTTTTTATTTTTTATAAAACCCTGTTTTAAGTGAGAAGAAGGCATTGGTCTTAAGTCAAAAACAGGAAATTCACATGAGCACCACAATGCCTACTCCACCCATAATCTACCAAGGTTTTCCAGCACACAGCGTTGACCTACAACAGTAGCTATGTTGGTCTATTGTACTTCAAACAATGTGTATGCAGGTCGCTTAGGATTCAAACCTTCCCGAACGGTCTAATTCATACTCAGAGGTGCTCCCACAATAATGTGATTTGTACCGCATACAAGTTCAACTATTGGATTCTTCCCACACCACACTAATCCCATTCCACTACCTTATCAAGCTTTTTAAAAATGATTATATGAAAACAAGTTTTGCTTTTATACTTACAAGACCATGCTTGATTGAGAAAGCTGTTTGGTACTATAGTAATGGGGTCCCTTCCTGTATTTCCTTTAACCTTTATTTCCTTTAACCTTTATTTTAGCAAACCATGTAATTGAGAAACATATATTTCATAACATATTTTTTGGGGTCAGTAGGTTCGCCAACATAACACCAAGTGATGTGTTGGACAGTCAATCATCTATAGAGGCAGGGCCTCAAATGAAACACCTGCGGGTAGATTTAGGCATTGGTGGTTAAGATGTCCATTTCAGCAGCCACGTTGGCGGGTGTTCAGGGCACCACAGTGCCAGCATTTCACCCATTTGTGGATAATAATAGTCAAGTGTAATTGTGGTGCTCATGTGAATGTCCTTTCTTTTTGGGCTTCAGGCCAATGACTTCTCACCTAATAGGTTTTGTTTTTAATCCTATAATGGAGAAGTCGAAGCAGTATTGCTGTTTTTAATCCTATAATGGAGAAGTCGAAGCAGTATTACTGTTTTTAATCCTATAATGGAGAAGTCGAAGCAGTATTACTGTTTTTAAACCTATAATGGAGAAGTCGAAGCAGTATTACTGTTTTTAAACCTATAATGGAGAAGTCGAAGCAGTATTACTGTTTTTAATCCTATAATGGAGAAGTCGAAGCAGTATTGCTGTTTTTAATCCTATAATGGAGAAGTCGAAGCAGTATTACTGTTTTTAATCCTATAATGGAGAAGTCGAAGCAGTATTACTGTTTTTAATCCTATAATGGAGAAGTCGAAGCAGTATTACTGTTTTTAATCCTATAATGGAGAAGTCGAAGCAGTATTACTGTTTTTAATCCTATAATGGAGAAGTCGAAGCAGTATTACTGTTTTTAATCCTATAATGGAGAAATCGAAGCAGTATTACTGTTTTTAATCCTATAATGGAGAAGTCGAAGCAGTATTGCTGCTGACACACTGGGTTTAACCTCCCTATTTCATATCAAGCGATTGAGGATAGAACAAGAAGACAGGGAACATTCTGGCAACGAAGACATAGCACTGGACTTGTTCCCTCTCCATAACACACACACACACACACACACGAGTACAGACTTGTTCCCGCTCCATAATCCACAGGAGTAGACTTGTTCCCTCTAAATTATCCACACGAGTACAGACTTGTTCCCTCTAAATTATCCACACGAGTACAGACTTGTTCCCGCTCCATAATACAAACGTGCATAGAGGAACAGCATGGATGCCAAGAATGGAAGTTACTTGTACGTTTTTTAAAGTGTATTTTCGACTTCCTGGAATGGCAGCTACCGGAAACACCCATTTCCACTAGCATTAACTACATTCTCCAAAAATGCTAACCATATTATTCTGGACGTCGTTAAATAACTAGCTTGCAATTATTTTATTTTTGATTTGGAGGAAACAGCCCAGGGAAGTCAAAAATAAGCAGAACACATTCATTCATTCTTGTTCACAGGATTCTGCCTTGTGCACTGTTGGTTAAGGGCTGTAAGTAAGCATTTCACTGTGATGTCTGCACCTGTTGTATTCGGCGCATGTGACCAATACAATTTGATTTGATTTGATTGATGGGATTACCACTGTGTGTGTGTGTATGTGTGTGTGTACCTGGCACCAGGGCTTGGGCAGCCTGCGGTGTTTCCTCTGGTAGCTGTGTAGAGCCTGGAAGCCCAGGTGAAGCTGTCCTGGTCGCTCAAACTTAGCAAAGTCTGTCAGAACAAACTCTGGCTCAGCCATGGAAGTGGTGAAGGATTTCTACAGAGGAGGGGGGGGGACGTGTGCAAGAGAGAGAAGGCGAGACGCATGTGAATTAACTCACCCTTTCTTCCGCCAGGTAATAGTGGACTATGCACCGTTGGAGATTACTTTACTGGTGAAATCACTGCACACATTCAGAGTCCCAAATGATCATGATTAGTCAGACACTGAAGTTTTGCAACCTGAACATTTGACCAGGCTTGTACCACTACGTTAAACATTGTTGTAGATGGCAGTAACTGTCTGCCACGTCACAGCAACAGAACGGTTTAATGAAAACCACCACATGCTCACCTGACACAATGACCCGAGGACAACGTGAGGTACTTACGAAGGCCACCTTCTTGGGCATCTTGACCTGAGAGACGATGCCTCCCCTGGCGTAGTCAGAGAACCCTGTGGTGTCACAGATACTGAAGGTGTATGGGCCTGGACGGAGAGAGAGGGAGAGCAAGGAGATGAGGAGAGTATTGACTTTAGAAGACTACTGAATAGAATATGCCCCTGATACCATGACAGTAGCCTGGTGCCAGAACTGTGAGAGACGTCTAGCTAGATCCTAGGGTCATTGTCACGGCAGTACTAAGTTATGTTGACGGAGCTATGGCTCTAACCCAAGACAGCAAAGACAGATCTGAGACCAGGCTATGACCATACTAAGTTATGTTGATGGCGCTAACAGACAGATCTGAGACCAGGCTATGACCATACTAAGTTATGTTGATGGCGCTAACAGACAGATCCTGCTTCAGGATAGGACTCACCCAGGGTCTTGATTTCTAACGGCTTGCAGCTGTTGAGCTCAGTCATGCCCTGCACCTCAGTGAAGATCACAAAGTCTCCGCTCTCAAACCCGTGGCGAGTCTCGTCCAGACACGTCACCACACCTGCTGCGTCCTACGGAGTGAGAAGCAGGGATGAGATCTGCACAACACGGGAAACCAGGAACAGAGGTTACCAGTTCCACTCACTGACAAGATGAAAAGAGATAAGAGACAGTACTAGGAAGACTGGAAACGTCACATTTGATGAGTGGTCCTTCGTAGCTCAATTGGTAGAGCGTGGCGCTTGTAACACCAGGGACGTGGGTTCGATTCCTGGGACCACCCATACGTAAAAAAATAGATGCGAGCATGACTAAGTCGCTTTGGATAAAAGCGTCTGCTAAATGACATATATTAAGTCAGTGGTTCCACAACAACTTTTCTTACCTAAACGCGGAACACATTTTGTCACTCTCCAGCTAAACAAATGATTGACCCTGGAAGCGTCCCAGTCTTTCGCTGAGATACAGGTTAAGTTCAGGTGTAAAGAAGCTCCTAACCAGAGGGGCTTCCAGGTATCAAACAGCAGCATCTACAGCGCTAGTAGTGGACTAATATCTAGGGTTTAGGCCAGGCCTGGGTAATATCTAGGGTTTAGGCCAGGGCTGGGTAATATCTAGGGTTTAGGCCAGGCCTGGGTAATATCTAGGGTTTAGGCCAGGCCTGGGTAATATCTAGGGTTTAGGCCAGGCCTGGGTAATATCTAGGGTTTAGGCCAGGCCTGGGTAATATCTAGGGTTTAGGCCAGGGCTGGGTAATATCTAGGGTTTAGGCCAGGCCTGGGTAATATCTAGGGTTTAGGCCAGGGCTGGGTAATATCTAGGGTTTAGGCCAGGCCTGGGTAATATCTAGGGTTTAGGCCAGGCCTGGGTAATATCTAGGGTTTAGGCCAGGCCTGGGTAATATCTAGGGTTTAGGCCAGGGCTGGGTAATATCTAGGGTTTAGGCCAGGGCTGGGTAATATCTAGGGTTTAGGCCAGGCCTGGGTAATATCTAGGGTTTAGGCCAGAGCTGGGTAATATCTAGGGTTTAGGCCAGTGGCCACTTGTAGGCTGTGTGCCATGACTTGTAGGCTGTGTGCCATGACTTGTAGGCTGTGTGCACCTTCCAATTTACCCCCCCCCCCTCCCCTCTCTTTCCACTCATAACAACAAAGATGACAGATCACATCTCCCTCTCTGACGAGCGGATTCGAGGTTTGGTCCAATAGAATCGGTCATATGGACACCAAAACACATTGAGACAGTATTTTACTGTAATAGAGGAGAAGGTAACTTTTCTACCAATACCCTTTTTATGTCTCAACTCCTCAAATTGCATTTAGCAGAGCGGACACTACTAAAAATGAACATCAATTCTGTTGCGCACGACATTGCGGTACCACGTCCCGCTAGCAGCATTTTAGCCAAAGACTTTTGTGCAATAAGCATAAAATATAAAAATGTGCAATAAGCATGAAACACAATTGTTTTCCACATCTGAACAAAGTGGACAGGCTAACATGCTATTCAAACAGTTGGAGTTGGACAGAAGGGTGTGTTCATAACAATTCAACTGTTCTACTTTGTTAGCAAGCAAATATATCTAGTTAAAACGCACAAATATTATTCGCCCCCCAAATACCTACCCTCCCGTTATTGAAATGGTGAGAGGTTAGCATGTCTGCACTAACTGTAAGTCGCTCTGGATAAGAGCGTCTGCTAAATGACTAAAATGTAAATTTGTCCCTAAAATGGGGGGACTACGTACAAAAAGTGCTGTAATTTCTAAACGGTTCATCCGATATGTATGAAAAAACCCTCTAATTAAAGCTGACAGTCTGCACTTTAACCGCATAGTCATTGTATCATTTCAAATCCAAAGTGCAGGAGTATCCCAATACTTTTGGAGCCCACCGTATCAAGCTTGTAAGGTTTTCCAGAGTTAGTCCTGCCCCCCCTCTACTTTTTCCACATTTTAGTGTTACCGCCTGAATTTTAGCAGGGTACTAACCTTGGTGATCATGGAGATCATGGCAGAGAGAGGCTGCTCTCCGTTGGTATCAGGGTACTAACCTTGGTGATCATGGAGATCATGGCAGAGAGAGGCTGCTCTCCGTTGGTATCAATCACCAGCATCTCCTCTCCAAAGTCACAGAAGAGCTGTCCGAAGAGTCCCCGTGTGTCAGCGATCACCAGCTTGATGCCGTTACTGTGACAGACCTCTCCAATACTCTGCTGTTCCTCTAGGGGGGAGTTGGTCAGGACTACAACCTGCAACACAACACACAGACATGTTATAGAGTATACACTACAGTACATAGGGTGTTCACCCATAAAAACTATTATTTCATTCAATGTTAATAAATATATATAAACTCTGTAGAGAATGGTATAGTCCAACCCTCACCACCATATATGGCTCACACACACTTTAGTTAGACTATTTAAGTCAGAGAATTTAGCATGATTAGAGTGAATAGAATGTAATTATGGCCATGGTCAAAAAGCTCAATGGAGCTCTGTCACTGCTCCGCGCCGTTACTTCGAACGTCAACTGACAAGCTATCCAGTGGCTGCAGGTTCGTGTGTGATAACAGGTTTTTTTCCCTAAATGAAATCTGCGGAATACAAAACTGGGTCTATATTTATTAAATGTACAAAGCTAACAGACTGGCACACGTAGCCTACATTACAATACATACACACAAACTATCTAGGTCAAATAGGGGAGAGGCGTTGTGTCGTGAGGTGTTGCTTTATCTGTTTTTTGAAACCAGGTTTGCTGTTTATTTGAGCAATATGAGATGGAAGGGAGTTCCATGCAATAATGGTTCTATATAACACTGTACGCTTTCTTGAATTTGTTCTGGATTTGTGGACTGTGAAAAGACCCCTGGTGGCATGTCTGGTGGGTAAGTGTGTGTCAGAGCTGTGTGTAAGTTGACTATGCAAACAATTTGGGATTCAACACAATGTTTCTTATAAAAATAAAAAGTGATTAACCGTCTCTCCTCAACTCTTAACCAAGAGACTGGCATGCATAGTATTTATATCAGCCCTCTGATTACAATGAAGAGCAAGACGAACTAGGCCTTTCCTTTGTAGCAATCGACCACACGACTGGACAATAATCAAGATAAGACAAAACTAGAGCCTGCAGAACTTGCTTTGTGGAGTGTGGTGTCAAAAAAAGCAGAGCATTTGTTTTACGGACAGACCTCTCCCAATCTTTACAACCATTGAATCTATATGGTTTTGACCATTAGTTTACAATCTAAGGTAACACCAAGTAATTTAGTCTCCTCAACTTGTTCAACAGCCACACCATTCATTACCAGATTCAGCTGAGGTCTAGAACTTAGGGAATGATTTGTACCAAATACAACGCTTTTAGTTTTAGAGATGTTCGGGACCAGTTTGTTACTGGCCACCCATTCCAAAACAGACTGCAACTCTTTGTTAAGGGTTTCAGTGACTTCATTAGCTGTGGTTGCTGATGCGTATATGGTTGAATCATCAGCATACATGGACACACATACTTTGTTTAACCTCTACGGGATCGGTGTCCTGTATACGGGACGGTTGAGCTAACGTGCGCTAATGCAATTAGCATGACTGTTGTAAGTAACAGCAAACTTTCCAGGACATAGACATGTCTTATATGGGCAGAAAGCTTAAATTCTTGTTAATTTAACTGCACCATCCAATTTACAGTAGCTATTACAGTGAAAAATACCATGCTATTGTTTGAGGAGAGTGCACAAGAACAAAAAACGTATCACGGCAACTGGTTTGATACATTCACCTCTGAGGTAAGTAATGTACTTGCATTCAGTAATCTTGCTCTGATTTGTCATCCTGAGGGTCCCAGAGATAAAATGTAGCATAGTTTTGTTTGATTAAATCAATTTTATATTCCAATGTAGGAACTGGGTTTTACAGTTTGAACCCCTGCTATCTCTGGCTCCACACCCACCCTGCCATCTAGATCTGTGAAAGTTATTGTATAAGCTAATGATCCATCATGTATGACATTCCTGGGAGTGTGTAAACTTAAAATGTGTATTATTTTTGTATTTTCTCTATAGTTGTATACTTGAAAATGTATCAATTGACCAATTCGGCACATTTGGGCAGACTTGATTCAAAATAGTCCAGTATTGCAACGCTTCACTGGATCAATCTAAAACTTTGCACAGACACTGCTGCCATCAGGTGGGCAAAATCTAAATTGCGCCTAAACCGCAATATTATATTGTGGCCTTTCTCTTGCATTTCAAAGATGGAACATAAAATAAATAGAAAACGCATGTTTTTTTGTTTGTGTTATATTTTACCAGATCTAATGTGTTATATTCTCCTCCATTAATTTCACATTTCCACAAACTTCAAAGTGTTTCCTTTCAAATGGTATCAAGAATATGTATATCCTTGCTTCATGTCCTGAGCTACAGGCAGTTAGATTTGGGTAAAAAGGGTCCGATCCTTAAGAGGTTAATGCCAGTGGCAGGTCATTGGTAAAAAATAGAAAAGAGAAGAGGGCCTAAAGAGCTGCCCTGCGGTACACCACACTTTACATGTTTGACATTAGAGAAGCTTCTATTAAAGAAAGCTTCCATTAGATAGATTGCCATATCGTGGATTCAGAGCTGAGGTTGAAAAGCCATAACACATACATTTTCTCAACAGGTTAAGGTCAATAATATCAAAAGGCTGCACTAAATTTCTAACAGTACAGCTCCCACAATCTTCTTATCAATTTCTCAATATGCACTCACTAACTGTAAGTCGCTCTGGATAAGAGCGTCTGCTAAATGACTCAAATGTAAAAATGAGTAGCTGCTGCCTTGGCAGGAACAATGGGGATTCTTAAAAAATACAAATGGTAATTATTAATTTGAATCTCTGTTGATAAACTGATCAACAACATTTGCATAGAAGTAGCTTATTTTATATAAATGTGTGCTCTCTTTAACCAGTAATGACGAGGCAGTCAGTTCACTGAGGCAATACATAATCTTTGGGAGAGACGTGAGATACCGAATAAGTGAATAAAAAAAGATTTGTGGCGGCAATCATTTTTGAAATCAGCATATTTTGCGTTATGGTTTGCATATTATCACAAACAAAGTACTAGGGTAGTGAATTGATGTCAGCTTTAGCCGTCAGCTAGCAAGGAAAGTTAGCCTACAAAGACGTAAGCTACCGGTACCTTCTTGCATTGTAAAGCGTTCTAGCCTGTATGGGCATTGTTCTGTGAACAGGAATTAACAGTGTCAACATTTCTACATGCCGTGTCACATTATTAAAGTGTGTTAACTTCTGTGTAGCGTGAGTGGGGAGCTAGCATGATGCTGCCCAGACTCCCAGTGCAGCGTGAGTGGGGAGCTAGCATGATGCTGCCCAGACTCCCAGTGCAGCGTGAGTGGGGAGCTAGCATGATGCTGCCCAGACTCCCAGTGCAGCGTGAGTGGGGAGCTAGCATGATGCTGCCCAGACTCCCAGTGCAGCGTGAGTGGGGAGCTAGCATGATGCTGCCCAGACTCCCAGTGCAGCGTGAGTGGGGAGCTAGCATGATGCTGCCCAGACTCCCAGTGCAGCGTGAGTGGGGAGCTAGCATGATGCTGCCCAGACTCCCAGTGCAGCGTGAGTGGGGAGCTAGCATGATGCTGCCCAGACTCCCAGTGAGTTAGTGGAGTAGGCAGGGTGATCTATAATAAGGGGTGGGCTGGGCTGATTGACAGGATCCGTGAGACACATTTGACAGAAGTCCTGAAAATAAATTCTAGAACCGACCCATTTTTCATGTTCTAGTATGCAAAAAGTACCAAAGTCGGTATACCGTGCAACACTAGTCATCAGCGAGGGCTCCAGCGTAATGTAGTTTAATTAGGTACCGGGGTTGATGGGTAATGTAGTTTATAACCTACCTGGAACTGAGTCAGGTAGTCGTCGGTGAGGGCTCCAGTGTAGGCCACTACAGGTACGTAGCTGTTGAGCTCAGCCAGGCGAGTCTGAGACACCTCAGCCCTGTTCTTCCCCAGGTCCTCTTCACGCAGGTAGAACTGGAGACAGAGAGACAGGGTTAATACAGAGATAGGTCCTCTTCTCACAGGTAGAACTGGAGACAGAGAGACAGGGTTAATACAGAGATAGGTCCTCTTCACGCAGGTAAAACTGGAGACAGAGAGACAGGGTTAATACAGAGATAGGTCCTCACAGGTAGAACTGGAGACAGAGAGACAGGGTTAATACAGAGATAGGTCCTCACAGGTAGAACTGGAGACAGAGAGACAGGGTTAATACAGAGATAGGTCCTCCTTACACAGGTAGAACTGGAGACAGAGAGACAGGGTTAATACAGAGATAGGTCCTCTTCTCACAGGTAGAACTGGAGACAGAGAGACAGGGTTAATACAGAGATAGGTCCTCTTCTCACAGGTAGAACTGGAGACAGAGAGACAGGGTTAATACAGAGATAGGTCCTCACAGGTAGAACTGGAGACAGAGAGACAGGGTTAATACAGAGATAGGTCCTCACAGGTAGAACTGGAGACAGAGAGACAGGGTTAATACAGAGATAGGTCCTCTTCTCACAGGTAGAACTGGAGACAGAGAGACAGGGTTAATACAGAGATAGGTCCTCCTTACACAGGTAGAACTGGAGACAGAGAGACAGGGTTAATACAGAGATAGGTCCTCTTCACGCAGGTAGAACTGGAGACAGAGAGACAGGGTTAATACAGAGATAGGTCCTCACAGGTAGAACTGGAGACAGAGAGACAGGGTTAATACAGAGATAGGTCCTCACAGGTAGAACTGGAGACAGAGAGACAGGGTTAATACAGAGATAGGTCCTCTTCACGCAGGTAGAACTAAATGGAATTAAAAACATGTTCCGATCAATATCATCTTGACCTGAGCATGCCCAAAGATAAGCTCCACAGACACACCATGTACCTGTGAGGAGAGGTCTCTCCACTCAGCCTGTCCCTGGTCGTGCAGGGTAACACTCTTGACTCCTCCCAGGATGACATTCTTAGCGATCTCCACTCCAAGCCCTCTCAGCCCTGAGACCAGGACATTGGAGCTCTGCATGCGCTTCATAGCATCATGGCCCAACACGTAGCTACGGAGGAGAGAATACAGGCTTTATAAGACTACATAGCACCTTTATAACACTACGTCAGCCCCCTCAGCCCTGAGACCAGGACATTGGAGCTCTATGGAGGAAAGAGGCCAGGCTTTAATCAATCATTCATTTAGAAAGCTTTTCACCTGGCCTAGACAAAAAAAAAAAGTGTACAGATGCAACACATGTGAAAGGAAATAAAAAACAAAACACTTGGCTTACAGCTGTCTGGAGTACAGGCCATCATGTCTTAGAGCTGTCTGGAGTACAGGCCATCATGTCTTAGAGCTGTCTGGAGTACAGGCCTTCATGGCTTACAGCTGTCTGGAGTACAGGCCTTCATGGCTTAGAGCTGTCTGGAGTACAGGCCTTCATTTACATTTCATGGCTTAGAGCTGTCTGGAGTACAGGCCTTCATGGCTTACAGCTGTCTGGAGTACAGGCCTTCATGGCTTAGAGCTGTCTGGAGTACAGGCCTTCATGGCTTAGAGCTGTCTGGAGTACAGGCCTTCATGGCTTACAGCTGTCTGGAGTACAGGCCTTCATGGCTTAGAGCTGTCTGGAGTACAGGCCTTCATGGCTTACAGCTGTCTGGAGTACAGGCCTTCATGGCTTACAGCTGTCTGGAGTACAGGCCTTCACGGCTTAGAGCTGTCTGGAGTACAGGCCTTCATGGCTTAGAGCTGTCTGGAGTACAGGCCTTCATGGCTTAGAGCTGTCTGGAGTACAGGCCTTCATGGCTTAGAGCTGTCTGGAGTACAGGCCTTCATGGCTTAGAGCTGTCTGGAGTACAGGCCATCATGGCTTAGAGCTGTCTGGAGTACAGGCCTTCATGGCTTAGAGCTGTCTGGAGTACAGGCCTTCATGGCTTAGAGCTGTCTGGAGTACAGGCCTTCATGGCTTAGAGCTGTCTGGAGTACAGGCCTTCATGGCTTAGAGCTGTCTGGAGTACAGACCTTCATGGCTTACAGCTGTCTGGAGTACAGGCCTTCATGGCTTAGAGCTGTCTGGAGTACAGACCTTCATGGCTTAGAGCTGTCTGGAGTACAGGCCTTCATGGCTTAGAGCTGTCTGGAGTACAGACCTTCATGGCTTAGAGCTGTCTGGAGTACAGGCCTTCATGGCTTACAGCTGTCTGGAGTACAGGCCTTCATGGCTTAGAGCTGTCTGGAGTACAGACCTTCATGGCTTACAGCTGTCTGGAGTACAGGCCTTCATGGCTTAGAGCTGTCTGGAGTACAGACCTTCATGGCTTAGAGCTGTCTGGAGTACAGGCCTTCATGGCTTAGAGCTGTCTGGAGTACAGACCTTCATGGCTTAGAGCTGTCTGGAGTACAGGCCTTCATGGCTTACAGCTGTCTGGAGTACAGGCCTTCATGGCTTAGAGCTGTCTGGAGTACAGGCCTTCATGGGGTATAGATATGGTACTTACAGCTATCTGGAGTACAGACCTTCATGGGGTATAGATATGGTACTTACAGCTGTCTGGAGTACAGACCTTCATGGGGTATAGATATGGTACTTACAGCTGTCTGGAGTACAGGCCTTCATCGATCTCAGCATCATTGCTATTCTTAGCCATGCCCTGGAGAGAACAAAACACGAGTGAAAACCAGTCAAACTAACCCAGCAGTGTGTGTGAGAGAGTTCAGTTCTGACAGAGTTGGAGGAGCAGAGTGTGTGTGTACGTACGTTGGCGGGTGTGTGAGAGAGTTCAGTTCTGACAGAGTTAGAGGAGGAGCAATGGGATCCCGTCTTCGTCTCTGAGTCTGACACGCGACGCTTCTTGGACAGCGGCGAGCTGGACATCTGAAACACACACAATTATTAAGTTGACAACCTAACACACCGACATACACACAGTTAGTCTGACAACATACCCAGTACCGGCCCCCTTTTTGGAAGCGAACAACTATTTCATCCCTTCGCTATATCGGCATCGACCAGGTCACCCTCCCTAGGAGAGGGGGTGACCTTGACAATTTGTTAAAAGGAGAGGCTGCAAGGCATTCCTTCGCAGTGCTTAAGGAGTCACTACAGACCCGGGTTCGATCCCAGGCTGTGTCACATCCGGCCGTGACCACGAGTCCCATAGAGCGCCGCACAATTGGCCCAGCGTTGTCCAGTTTAGGGGAGGGTTTGGCTGGGGGGGCTTTACTTGGCTCATCGCACTCTAGCGACTCCTTGTGGCGGGCTGGGCGCCTGCAGGCTGACCTCGGTCGTAAGTTGAACGGTGTTTCCTCCGAAACATTGGTGCGGCTGGCTTCCGGGTTAAGCGGGCGGGTGTTAAGCCCAGATTGGCGGGTCATGTTTCGGAGGACACAACTCTACCTCCGCCTCTCCCGAGCCCGTTGGGGAGTCGCAGCGATGAGACAAGATCGCAATTGGAGATCATGAAATTGGGGAGAAAAAGGGGGTAAAACACTATATATATATATAAAAAAAATACATACAAAAAAACGAGGCCATCTGGATCTTTAATTTAAAGACCCTTGCACCCTTCGGTCTCAACGTAGACTTTAATCTGAAGCCATTCTTGTGATTTTGCTATTCATTTTAAATGTTAGTAGGCCTGTGTAGCCAAGTTGTATCTATGATCGTATGTGTAATATATATATATATATATTTTTATTTTTATTTTATTTTTTCACCTTTATTTAACCAGGTAAGCCAGTTGAGAACAAGTTCTCATTTACAACTGCGACCTGGCCAAGATAAAGCAAAGCAGTGCGATAAAAACAACACAGAGTTACATATGGGGTAAAAAACAAAGTCAAAAATACAACAGAAAATATATATACAGTGTGTGCAAATGTAGCAAGTTATGGAGGTAAGGCAATAAATAGGCTATAGTGCAAAATAATTACAATAGTATTAACACTGGAGTGATAGATGAGCAAGAGATTATGTGCAAATAGAGATACTGGGGTGCAAAAGAGCAAAATAAATAACAATATAGGGATGAGGTAGTTGTATATGTCATTATACCCTGGTGAAGACAGCTTGACTGTTGAATCGTTGGTTATTCAACTATTGTATCTGAGCATCTAGACCAGGGTTCTTCAATTCCGGTCCTGGAGGGCCGAAACACTTCTGTTTTTTATTTCTACCTGGTAGTTAATTGCACTCACCTGGTGTCCCAGGTCTGAATTAGCCCCTGATTAGAAGGAGAGGATGAAAAACAGGTGTTTCGGCCCCCTCCAGGACCGGAATTGAAGAACCCTGTCCTAGAGTGAGGCTCTCCTTTTCTGTCTGACAACATAAAGACACACAGCTGAACTGGTAGAACAACTGACAGTGGTCCTAATATAGCGCCTTGCAAAAGTATTCACCCCTCTTGGCATTTTTTCTATTTTGTTGCATTACAACCTGTATTTTAAAATGGATTTTGGGGGGGGGGATTTCATGTAATGGACATACATAAAAGTCCAAATTGGTGAAGTGAAAAAAATATATAAACGGAAAAGTGGTGCGTGCATATGTATTCACCCCCTTTGCTATGAAGCCCCTAAATAAGATCTGGTGGAACCAATTACCTTCAGAAGTCACATAATTAGTTAAATAAAGTCCACCTGTGTGCAATCTAAGTGTCACATGATCTCAGTATATATACACCTGTTCTGAAAGGCCCCAGAGTCTGCAGCACCACTAAGCAAGGGGCACCACCAAGCAAGCGGCACCATGAAGACCAAGGAGCTCTCCAAACAGGTCAGGGACAAAGTTGTGGAGAAGTACAGATCAGGGTTGGGTTATAAAAAAATATCAGAAACGTTCAACATCCCACGGAGCACCATTAAATCCATTATTTAAAAAATGGAAAGAATATGGCACCACAACAAACCAAGGACCCACCCCAATCTTCAGTAGGTTGTGTCAGGAGAGCTGTCCAGTGCTGAAGTATATTAGTCTACAGACTCCTACGGTGGATTGTGAAAGTACATTTGACATTTTAGTCATTTAGCAGACGCTCTTATCCAGAGCGACTTACAGTTAGTGAGTGCATGCATTGACATACTGGTCCCCCGTGGGAATCGAACCCACAACCCTGGCGTTGCAAGCGCCATGCTCTACCAACTGAGCTACACATGACTACTATAAGGAAGACCCACTCCATCTCTACTGGTATTGTTTATTATACTATAAGGAAGGCCCACTTCATCTCTACTGGTATTGTTTATTATACTATAAGGAAGGCCCCCACTTTTTCCATCTCTACTGGTATTGTTTATTATAGAAAAAAATTCCAGAAATTCACATTGTAGGATTTTTAATGAATTTATTTGCAAATTATGGTGGAAAATAAGTATTTGGTCAATAACAAAAGTTTCTCAATACTTTGTTATATACCCTTTGTTGGCAATGACACAGGTCAAACGTTTTCTGTAAGTCTTCACAAGGTTTTCACACACTGTTGCTGGTATTTTGGCCCATTCCTCCATGCAGATCTCCTCTAGAGCAGTGATGTTTTGGGGCTGTCGCTGGGCAACACAGACTTTCAACTCCCTCCAAATATTTTCTATGGGGTTGAGATCTGGAGACTGGCTAGGCCACTCCAGGACCTTGAAAATGCTTCTTACGAAGCCATTTCTTCGTTGCCCGGGCAGTGTGTTTGGGATCATTGTCATGCTGAAAGACCCAGCCACGTTTCATCTTCAATGCCCTTGCTGATGGAAGGAGGTTTTCACTCAAAATCTCATGATACATGGCCCCATTCATTCTTTCCTTTACACGGATCAGTCGTCCTGGTCCCTTTGCAGAAAAACAACCCCAAAGCATGATGTTTCCACCCCCATGCTTCACAGTAGGTATGGTGCAACTCAGCATTCTTTGTCCTCCAAACACGACAAGTTGAGTTTTTACCAAAAAGTTCTATTTTGGTTTCATCTGACCATATGGCATTCTCCCAATCCTCTTCTGGATCATCCAAATGCACTCTAGCAAACTTTTGATGGGCCTGGACATGTACTTGCTTAAGCAGGGGGACACGTCTGGCACTGCAGGATTTGAGTCCCTGGTGGCGTAGTGTGTTACTGATGGTAGGCTTTGTTACTTTGGTCCCAGCTCTCTACAGGTCATTCACTAGGTCCCCCCGTGTGGTTCTGGGATTTTTGCTCACCGTTCTTGTGATTATTTTGACCCCACGGGGTGAGATCTTGCATGGAGCCCCAGATCGAGGGAGATTATCAGTGGTCTTGTATGTCTTCCATTTCCTAATAATTGCTCCCACAGTTGATTTATTCAAACCAAGCTGCTTAAATATTGCAGATTCAGTCTTCCCAGCCTGGTGCAGGTCTACAATTTTGTTTCTGGTGTCCTTTGACAGCTCTTTGGTCTTGGCCATAGTGGAATTTGGAGTGTGACTGTTTGAGGTTGTGGACAGGTGTCTTTTATACTGATAACAAGTTCAAACAGGTGCCATTAATACAGGTAACGAGTGGAGGACAGAGGAGCCTCTTAAATAAGAAGTTACTGGTCTGTGAGAGCCAGAAATCTTGCTTGTTTGTAGGTGACCAAATACTTATTTTCCACCATAATTTGCAAATAAATTCATAAAAAATCCTACATGTGATTTTCTGGATTTTTTTTCTCTCAATTTGTCTGTCATAGTTGACGTGTACCTATGATGAAAATTACAGGCCTCTCTCATCTTTTTAAGTGGGAGAACTTGCACAATTGGTGGCTGACTAAATACTTTTTTTCCCCACTGTATACTATAAGGAAGGCCCACTCCATCTCTACTGGTATTGTTTATTATACTATAAGGAAGGCCCACTCCATCTCTACTGGTATTGTTTATTATACTATAAGGAATGCCCACTCCATCTCTACTGGTATTGTTTATTATACTATAAGGAAGGCCCACTCCATCTCTACTGGTATTGTTTATTATACTATAAGGAAGGCCCACTCCATCTCTACTGGTATTGTTTATTATACTATAAGGAAGGCCCACTCCATCTCTACTGGTATTGTTTATTATACTATAAGGAAGGCCCACTCCATCTCTACTGGTATTGTTTATTATACTATAAGGAAGACCCACTCCATCTCTACTGGTATTGTTTATTATACTATAAGGAAGGCCCACTCCATCTCTACTGGTATTGTTTATTATACTATAAGGAAGGCCCACTCCATCTCTACTGGTATTGTTTATTATACTATAAGGAAGGCCCACTCCATCTCTACTGGTATTGTTTATTATACTATAAGGAAGGCCCACTCCATCTCTACTGGTATTGTTTATTATACTATAAGGAAGGCCCACTCCATCTCTACTGGTATTGTTTATTATACTATAAGGAAGGCCCACTCCATCTCTACTGGTATTGTTTATTATACTATAAGGAAGACCCACTCCATCTCTACTGGTATTGTTTATTATACTATAAGGAAGGCCCACTCCATCTCTACTGGTATTGTTTATTATACTATAAGGAAGGCCCACTCCATCTCTACTGGTATTGTTTATTATACTATAAGGAAGGCCCACTCCATCTCTACTGGTATTGTTTATTATACTATAAGGAAGGCCCACTCCATCTCTACTGGTATTGTTTATTATACTATAAGGAAGGCCCACTCCATCTCTACTGGTATTGTTTATTATACTATAAGGAAGGCCCACTCCATCTCTACTGGTATTGTTTATTATACTATAAGGAAGGCCCACTCCATCTCTACTGGTATTGTTTATTATACTATAAGGAAAGGCCACTCCATCTCTACTGGTATGTTTATTATACTATAAGGAAGACCAACTCATCTTACTGGTATTGTTTATTATACGATAAGAAGGCCCACTCAAC